AACTATGGTATAGGAATCAATCACAATTATAAAGCAAAAATCTGTACAATCTTGAGGATTTCAACATAAGCCAACACAGTTGATCACAGAAATAGTGTCATGAAGTTTGTTGGCATGCACATAAAAAAAAAAAAAAAAACCACTATGATGTAGAATCAAAAAAGAATATTTCCCCTTTCTGTTCTCTTTGTTTTTCTTTAAAACTATCATATTCTTTCTATATTGAGAAGTGAGTGGATGAAAAATTCACAACACGGATGAAATAGAACTAACATCAAATAATTTAAAGCATGTTTGAGCCCCATTTTTTTTTTTTTTTCCTTTCTATGAAAATGCATTTTGGAATATTAGTTTAATGGAGAATGTGTGGTTAAAAAATAAGGAAAAGTTTTGAGTTCGAATGTAATATTATTTTATTGAAAAATGCGTGGTAAAAAATAAGAGAGAAAAATGTATTTTGAACATAATGGGTAACACAAAAAGGCTTAATATGTAAGTAGTCTAACTAGCCAGTAAGGGAATTCTATTCACATTCACTCAATATTTCTCCACATCCACCAACACAAAATTTTATCAATTTATGCTTCATGAATATGTCAATTCCACCTTTCACTTCTCCACCCCGACCCCACCACTACCATTTCTAGCCCTAATATTTTCTCCCTTTCCATTAAAATGGGAAATCTTCTTATCACACAATTTTTCTCTTTTCCCTCCCCATTGAAGTGGTACATGGGTGACTGCAACAGGATTTCCCAGTCGCAGATGCACCCACGGTGCAGAAAGAGGGAAGAAATATTGAAAATGTGGGGATGCCTAGATAGAAGATGGATTGCCAAGGTGTAACTAGTAATTTTGAGAGTAGTTTGGAAATATTTGGAGCGTGCAGAGTAACTTTGTTAAAATTTCAATTGGGTGCTGGGTACGAAAAGAAAGTGTGGAGAGAAAACAAAACTATAAAAATTACCTCATTGTAGACTTCAGCAAATCTTCTATTTCCAACCCTAGGAGATCCAAAATTATACATGGTTACAGAAATAGCTCCTTGCCTAGTACAGAGACAATGAAATAAATAACATATCAAAAATTATCGCAGGAGAAAAAAATAACAAAACCATTTTTTAAGAATGTAACATTTAACAAACAGTGGTCTCCAGGAATATCAAAAACATTGTTTGTTAACATGGATTTGTAGATCACAATGTCAATTAAGTCCATAGTGATAAACTTGCTATGCATCATTGTATTTCATTTCCAATTAAGAGGTTCATAAGTTGTTTATCAATTTAGTTTGATGAACCACTATGATGTTTGTCAGATGTACTCATGAATGCACACATACTGCTTAAATTTACCTGTGCGAAATCAAATTCAGAGTTGTTTTTTCCTACTTTCCAAAAAATTGTCTCAAATGAGTTTGAAGTGAAATGACATACCCCTTAACGTGACAATGGTAGGGTATACTTCAAACAAGAGATAAAATTCTAGAAACAAAGGGATCCTACTTGTTTATAGGAATGGAAAGTCAGAAGCAACTCTGATTTTCTTTTTCAATTTTTTTTTTTTTTTTTGGGGGAATCTTACTTAAAATGTACACTCGTTACATGTGGACAGACCCCAACAAAATGGAGTTGCTGGAAGGGGGAAAAAGACACTAATTAGATGTGCCAGGGCTTTTATATTTCAAATAAGGTTTGAAGCATAATAGGGGACATTGCAATACTAACAACCTATTTGATTAATAGATTGCAATCTCAAGCACATGATTTTACATCTTTTACAGAAAGGCTCTACCCACACTTCTCCAAATATTTTAGTATTGGGAATCATCCCCCAAAAGTTTTCGGTTGCACCACATACATTTATATTCACAACCAGTCCAGTTGTCAACTCGATCCTATGTGATGTAGGATGAATAAGAAAGAAAGAAGAAGGAACGGGGAGGAGAAATAGAGAGAAGGGAGAAGAGGAGAAGAAACCAGGGGAAGAGAGGGGAGGGAGAAAACGGCTGCAAGCCACCAAAAATATTTCAATTCTAATTCATCATCAACTGTCTCAAATGAGAAACAAAACAGAAATAAATAACAGAACACAAACCCTAAAGAGAAGGGTTTGGGCCAAACCCACTAAACAAGCCCAATAACGAAAATATAAACAATAGTCCAAATAAAATATGACTAAGAGTCCAAATAGAAAATAGATAATAAATGGATGTCCGCATCAACTCTCCCGGGGTGGGAGAAAAACTCGACCCCGTCGAGTAGATAAAGTAGAATGTTGCACTGAATCTGATGCGAAAGGCTCCAAGTCATGCCACGGGGGACGATCTTTCTCGATGACCAAATACCGAAACTCTACAAATGATAACATTTCTCGATGACCAAATACCGAAACTCCACAAATGATAACAAGGATAGTTGTAGCTTATCCTCAAGGATATGATCCAACCAAGGAGGACGATCTTTCTTTGTAATCACATACTGATACTGAACTCCCAATAGTAAAAATTCATGCCACTCATCTCCAAAATCTTCCTCATTGGTCAACACTACCTGTTTATCTAAAATAGCATCAATTACATCTTTGTGTGCTGTGACATGTGTTATTGGGGTGAAAATGGTAACATATTTAGGTTGGGGATCCACATAAGGAAGTAGAAAATGATCATCAAGGAAATTAAAAAGGCCTTTGTAAGTAACTAAGTCTTCAATATGTAAAGTAGAGTGGTGGCCAAAATGTGATGAAAAATTAATGACATGTGCGTATGGACCAACATGCTTTAAAACTTTATGCAAATCAGTTTGAAGTTTATATAATGCATTACTTGCGTGAAGTTGTTTATTGATCTTAATATGCAAGTCATGAAGATGATGCACAAATGCTTCAATTGATATCGACATACTAGCATGTGGGGATATGAAAATAAGGTCTAACGGCCGCCTAGACTTGTAACTATGAACAATTTCAAATGGATTCAAACCTAGAGACCGATTTACAGAATTGTTATACGCAATTTGAACATTTGGGGGAATCAAGTCCCAATTTCTAAGATTTTTCTGGACTAGAGACTTGTATAAATTGCCAGGACTTTGGTTAACGACTTCATTTTGACCATCAGTTTGAAGTTGGTCAGTAATGGGGAATGTTGATTTAATGCTAACCACAGGCGACTGAATTCTCCAAGGGTGGCCAGTGAAATCATCAAGCTCTTTGAGTTGTGCAAGGGTATGACATATAACATGTGACCGAGAGTTGTCAGAAACAAGGGGTATAGTATCTAAAGTCTTGGGAAGAGTCTGGAGTCCACCTAAAGAAGTGTCCTCACTATCATCCAAGTCATCAAAATCTTCAAGTTTAGGTTCATATACTAGATCTTCTAATGACATATTTATTACATTCTTTCGTTCTTCCATGACTAAGGTTCGATTAGTACATTTGGAAGAAATGTGGCCAAAATCTTTACAGTTAACGCACAACAAGTGAGAAGAAGACCTTGGAGTTTCAGAAATTCTACCCTGATTTTCCAAGATTGGAGAACCATTAGAAGGGGGAGGTCCTAGAAGGGACTTAACGGGAAGAGGTGGAGCCAATGAAGCCAAATGATGATTATCAAAAATTTTACCCTTATTTTTCAAAATTGGAGGAACATCAGATGGGGGTGGTCCTAGAAGGGACTTAACGGGAGGAATTGGAGCCAATGAAGCCAAATGATGATTATAAAAAATTTTATCCTTATTTTTCAAAATTGGAGGAACATCAGATGAGGGTGGTCCTAGAAGGGACTTAACGGGAGGAATTGGAGCCAATGACACCGAAGGATGATTGTCAATATGCGTTCTACATGGAAAAGGAGATTGTGGACTATCACGACCTTTACAATTATTTTTCCAAATAGGAGGAACATTAGACGGAGACGAT